CCCATATAAATTTATGGCTGCTCTGTTCTAAACCAAGCGCGAGCTCATTGACTTGCTCTTGTGACAATGTAGTGGTTGTCCCAAATGACACGAATATTACCGAATTAACATCTTGTTTGTCGAGAAATTCCAGGGACACATGTTGAGCACTCTTATTGTACAAATCAACTGATGATTCGAGCAGCATGTGAAATGGACCAAGACACCACACCGGCGTAATATCCTCTGCATGAATGGCAAATGAATCAAGATACTTGTCTTCCAATTCTCTGAAGGAGTTCAAGACAGCTCCAGAATTTAGCTTCCATTCACGTTCTTCTTGTATATACTCCTCCAGATGTGGCCCAAAAGTGCTCTCCACCGTCGGAAACTCATCGCCTAGTTCCTGAATCAACTTGTCTTGATCTTCATCAACTATATGAAGAACTTGTCTGAAAGTCGAATACCTAACGAAAGATGAAATGGAGTGGTAAGAATAACACTTGATGTTGGGTATTGAATGCAGATCCCTTATATAAGTTATCATCAAACAATCATGAATGATGACCAATCTTTTAGTATTTTTGGAGAGTACATGGCATTTTTCACAAATAGACTCCCCTAGATTTTCCAACAACAAATCTTTATCACTTTCTGCCTCAGTTGTAGGTACTGAGAGGTCACAGAAATGCAAATTTTCATCCGTGGCATTTCGTCGAACACCGTGAAGGCGTTTCTTCAAATCGTGGTTTCGGGCAGTTAAGCAGAGGAAGTGTACAGGAATGTTGTGTGAAGCAATGAAGCGAGAAAGGAGAAATAATGGGTTGAGATGGCCATGTTCAGGCCATGGAACCATGGCTACAATTACTTCATTGAGCTGAAGATTATTCTCTGATGAGTTGTTGATAGCCATTGACAAAAAATAAATGATAGATCTGAGTGTGTTGTAAAGAAAATCAAGTTTTGTATGTATGCAAGGCGACTGCACCTTGCAACTATTCTAAATTAAAAATAAAGTGACTCGTGATCAAGCAAATAATATAACGGTAAAATGGTTGGAATATAAGTCCTTATTTGCATTAACATTGACACGTCAGAATCTGAATGTACATCTGAATAATCTAGATATTATTTTTAGATCTTAGCATTAAATAATTAAATTTGATTGTTTTTCAACATTTAAATGTACATAATCTATTGACGACTAGTGTATTTGACATTGGATCAAGACTAAATTCAAATTACTAACGAATTACTTAAAATAGCTACCTTTCAAACTCTTCTGGTCAAATTTTACGGGCCATGAATCGCTCATGTGAACCGATCCAAATTCGACCCATTTTATTTTCTCTTAAATAAGAGGATAAGAAAAAAAAAATTATTACAAATTTAGATTTATCAGATCCTAAAAATAATATTGAACATTAGGTGGAAACCTAAAAAAAAAAAATTAGTACACAATTGCTTCATTCCAATTATGAATAGGATATATATCAAAACAATTACTCCCTCCGTCCCATTTTATGTGGCAACATTTCCTTTTTGGTCAGTCCCAAAAAGAATGTCACATTTCCTTATATGGTAAATATTTAAACATACAATTCCTCTTTTACCCTTATTGGTCCCACTTAATTTTAAAAATAATACTCCTATTTTTTTTATAAAAGGTCATCAATAATTAATTGAACCTGCAAATTTTCTCTTTTCCCTATAAAAACAATGTTGCAGCTTTTTGTTGTATATGACTAGAATACCATTCTTTACTCCATTTTTTTTCCTAAGCATTTTGTACTCTTTCCAATTTGTATAAAAAAAATTTTGTCCACAGTTATTCTTCGTTCTTTCTAATGTTTCACCAAGGAAAAAAGATTTGCATTTCTACATTACATTGCTTCCTTATTTTTTCACTAACATTTTGGGGCTTTCACTTAGTAAGGTAATGATTTTAATGAAAAGTATTCTAACATGAATTTGATGATTATCTTAAATTACAATCTATTTAAGGAAAATCAAAAACTTCAAATTCAAACTAGATAGTGAACAATTCAATAATAATCGTTTCGTAACATTGCTCTCAACTTACAATTTTAATTCAATATCAATGAAATTTGTTTTTAAGATTAAATTAGCAATAAGGCACCCAAAAAAATGGTGACAATGCTACAAATAATTCATGCTACTTTGGATCCATCGTAGTTTTTGTTATACTTTCATAACTAATTGCCATAAGTACAAAAAATTACATATGGTTTTCATTTGTTAAATTTTTCTATGTTCCTGCAAAATTATCAAAAGTGCATTTCAAAAAAGAAAATTTTGCCATACTAGTAATCCATATCATTGTTGAAGTAGAGTTGAAACATGATTGACAATACCAATATCACAACAAAGTTGAAGAGGAAGATTGTCTTCTCTTTCTAATCTGTTTTTGTTCAAATGAGGCACTTTGTAGTTGTTGCCTCCATTATCTTTCATCACCTCAATCATACAAGATTGTAAAGTAAGAAATACATGGTTGAGTTGTTCAACCTTCATTTCATCAAAAGATCTTTCCACTGCTTCCACTAATTCATCAACATTTGAAGGAGCCTTTGGTATTGAAGAGATTGGATTGCTCTAAAAAATCCAAGTTCCAACACATTTAAATCAGGGCTGTTAGGTGGTTGAAAACATAGACAAATGTCGAATCCATCTTTTTGGGCAGCCTCAACAAATTCCAAATCATTGACACCAATATGTGGTCTTGCATTATCTTGTTGTATAAAGATAGGAATGTTTGAATCTGAAGCTGGCCATTTTGATCTAATGGCAGGAAGAACTTTCTCAATCAAACAAGCCCTGGTGATATCTTTAGTTACTGATATAATGGGTTTTGTTTCGAGAGTTCCTGCTGTTTGATTCTTGCTATTCCGCTTAGCTGGTTCCTTAACTACGAAAATAGCTCAATTCCATTTTCATCAAATCGAGGACGAGCAACAGCAGCCATAAACATAACTTTTGAAATAAAATTTTTACTTTTGCAAGAGCGATATGGATCAGGCTCATGTTCTTCAGGAAGTAGGTAGTACCTTTCACTCTTTTTAGATAAAAAAACCATTTCTCGTCAATGTGAACATAATTAAACATATTCACAAAATTCGGATTTGTCTGAATTGTACTTTGATCAAGCATTGAAAAGCAAAATTCAAGTCGTACCTTCTTATTTTGTTCGGTTAGTTGAGGCTTAATGGAATTGGTATGTGTCCGAATAGTGCCATCTTTTATTCGCCGAAAGACATTTGATTTTGCCATGTTCATCGCAAAAGCCAGAGATCGAATATTTGTTCGACGACAAAGTGGAGTTTCTTTAACTTGATTAATGTCAACTTCCACCCGTTTTCTTCCAACTATGCCTACAAGTTTCGAAGACACATCCAACGGTGTACCATTATCAACAGATGATTTACATTGCTTCCAAATGCGTAAAATAGTTCTTCTTGATTTGTTGAACAAAATACCATCTTGTTTTAAAGATCCATATTTTTGTTTTCCTTCCTTGCTTTCTTTCAAAAGCCAATCTGCAATGGCTTGACGTTCTTCAAATTTTAATCGCTTGTTTCTAGTGGTTGGATCTTCCGAAAATACAACTATACTCATTTCTGGAGTATAAGCAAGAACAAAAAAAAGGAGATGAAAGAAAACAATACAATAGTCTTGCAAGAGAAATTATTCAAAGGAAACAGAGGGAAAAAATGACATGAAAATATAAAAAATATCTCTCTTAATAGCACTTGCTGAAAAAATTCAAACAAAATTATGATTTCGCGCCATAAATTTAATGTGATTTTGGCGCCACAAATCGAAAAATAATTGAAATCAAGAAGAGGATTTTTTTTCAAAAATAAAAACATGGTTTGCATAGATGGGACGATCTTCTTCAAGAGAAAGAGAGAGTGTTTTTTAAACTACTTAGAAAGAGAAAAGAGAAAATGATTAATTTTGGGAACATAAATCTGAAAAGTCACTGTGCTTTTATCTTTTTTGACTTTATCCTTCACCAATATATAGGAGAGAGAAAATGAGTGTACTTTAAAAAAAAATTGGAATTAGTATATTTTGTTTTTAAATTTTAATACTAGTATTATTTTTTGAAGGGTAATTTGGTAAACATTCAAAGTCTTCATCTATTTCTTAAACTCCGTGCCCGGTCAAATGTTGCCACATAAAATGGGACGGAGGGAGTAATAGATAACAAAATAGTAATAACAGAGACACCAGGATATATAGAAAGAACACTTATAGGAACAGTAAAATTATGGCTACAAAATTTATCAGATGAAAGTTTAAAGAATTGATGAAATAAATGACGATGATCTAGATGAACAACATTTGGAAACAAGCGAAACATATACGAAACTTTTAGCAAACATAGATGATACAAAGAATTTAATAGGCGTCCATTTTTTATTTAATCTTTTATCCCATGTAGTTTTTTCTCTATCATATTGTTCATACTTTTCATTATGAACAATATGTTTTAATCTTTTATCCCTTATTAGTATGAACACTACCACTTAAACAAAAACATAGTAAGAAACATAGCTCTGATACCATTTTTCGTTGCAGAACTGGTAGTTGAGGAAAATTCATGGAAGTGGTAGTGTGGTAGGTGGTAGTGTGGTAGGTGAGTAATTTATTTTAAAGATTTTATTATAATATTCTTTTGCTAAGTGTCTTAATCTTGATATCTCTTTAATATTATTTTTTGGGGTTGCAGAATTCATGTGTCACGCCCCAAACTCGAGGGACGCAACTGGCTC